GGTTAGACTGGGCCAATTCAGTTGTTTTGCAGGCTGGCTGGTAAGTGTGCTGGAAAATCCTTTGTTTGTTTGTGGTGTGCCTTGCCTTCCATGTGCACCTTACTGCAAGTGCCAGGTATAGGTTGGGGTGGTTGACACTTTTTTGTACAGTTGGATAAGGAGCGAGCCAACTGTACAAAAAAAGCCACTTCCAATGGGGGTGCACAGAGAAAAGGTGGAGCCTAGAGTGCCAGCGGGGGACCTCTGAAAAGGAGGCTCCAGGCCATTCTGTGCAATACTATTGCACAGAGCAAGAACATGTTTGTACTCCACAGGCCAGAGTACTTGGTGTCATTCTTGACTCCAATCTATCCTTCCAGCCCAAGTACGATCTTTAACAAACTCATGCAGACTCCACCTCCGCAACATCGCCAAAATACGCACGTTCCTAACCCCAGAAACCACTAAACAGCTCGTCCACTCCCTCATCATATCACGGCTCGATTACTGCAACTCCCTCCTCACTGGCATGCCTCGTCACAGGCTATCCCCACTTCAGTCAATCCTGAATATGGCAGACAGACTCATCACACTCTACCAACCGCTCCGTTTCCACCACCCCCCTCTGCCAATCCCTCCACTGGCTTCCGATTGCCCAACGGATCAAATTCAAAATCCTAACACTGACGTACAAAGCTGTCCACCATACTGTCCCAAACTACATCACTTACCTAATATCCAAGTACCGCCCAGCACGCACACTCCGCTCCTCACAAGACCTCCTTCTCTCTAGTTCCCTAGTCTCCTCCTCCCATGCCCGCCTCCAGGACTTCTCCAGGGCGTCACCCATACTCTGGAACTCCCTACCCCAATCCATCAGACTATCACCTACTCTCCTCTCCTTTAGGCGCACCCTGAAAACTCATCTCTTCGGGGAAGCCTACTCTACCCCCTGCTAATTCCCGACCTCCTCCACTCTTTCTACCACTCCATCCCCCACAGCTATCTCCTCCTGTACCACTATTCCCTCCCTCCTAGATTGTAAGCTCCAAGGAGCAGGGCCCTCGAACCCCTCGTGTATCGCATTCTATTGTTATTGTACTGTCGCATGTCGCATGTTCTGTCTCCCATTGTAATGTACAGCAGTGAGCGAACTGTTAGCGCTTTAAAAAAAATACTGTATAATAATAATAAAATACTTTAACCACTAGCCAACTGTGCTATAGCCGAATGATGGCTACAGTGCGGTTATCCAGTCCTGGGAGGGCATCATATGATGTCCTCCCAGAACGCAGCCTCCCTGCGCCCCCGGGGGTGCGCACCCGATGATCTCTGTGATCACTGTGTCCTACGAACACAGCTGATCACGTGATGTGGTAAAAGGCTAATCACAGCGGCCTTTTACCACATGATCAGCTGTGTCCAATGACACAGCAGATCATCGGTAAATGCAGTTGTCGGTTATTGGCTGCACTTTCCTCATGCTGTGACCGGCAATTGTCAGAGGATGGATCGGCACTGATGATCAGTGCCCTGAAGATCAGTTCCCAGCAGTGCCACCCACCAGTGCCGCCCACTTGTGCCCTGCAGTGCCGCCCACAAGTGCCCAGAACTGCCAGCCACCTGTGCCCATCAGTGCCTAGTAGTGCCACCCACCTGTGCCCATCAGTGCTGCCCATCAGTGCTGCCTATCAGTGCCCATCAGTGCTGCCTATCGGTGCCCATCATTGCTCCCTTTCCATGCCACCTCATCTGTGACTCCTATCAGTGCCCATCAGTGCCTCCTATCATTGGTCATCGGTGCTGCCTATCAGTGCCCATCAGTGCTGCCTATCAGTGCAGCCTCATCAATGCACATCAGTGAAGGAGAAAAATTACCTGTTTGCAAAATTTTATAACAGAAACAAAGAAAAAAACGATTTTTTTTTACATTTTTTTGCTCTTTTTTTGTTTATAGTGCAAAAATTAAAACACCCAGTGGTGATTAAATACCACCAAAATAAATCTCCATTTGTGTGAAAAAAAATGATACAAATTTCATATGGGTACAGTGTTGCATGACTGCAGAGTTGTCACTCAAAGTGTGACAGCGCTGAAAGCTGAAAATTGGCCTGGGTAGGAAGGAGGTATAAGTGTCCGGTAGGCAAAGGGTTAAAAAAAAGTTAGACTTTACAATCACTTTAAAATAATAGCTTTGTCAGAAAAATGTATAAAGGGGAAATTGCTGTTTAATAGAATATGTGAGTATATATTTTATAGTTTTAAGAATGTATGATACTATGCTTATTACGTTATCAAACACAGTTTTACACAGTTTTTTTTTAATTTATATAATACATAAATAATATCTTTATTTTGTATTTTGGAGCTAAATTGGTAGTCTGGTTTAATGGATATTGGGAACATACAATATAGTTACATAGTTAGTCTGGCTGAAAAAAGACAAAAGTCCATCCAGTTCAACCATTAAAAAAAAAAAAGTTATAATCCTATACCTACAGTTGATCCAGAGGAAGGCAAAAAAACAGCAAGGCATGATCCAATTTGCTCCTGCTGGGAAAAAAAGTCCTTCCTGATCCCCAGAGAGGCAATCAGATATTCCCTGGATCAACTTTACCTATAAATGTTAGTATCCAGTTATATTCTCTGTACATCTGTTTATATAAATTGAGAATAATGTATTACATTAGCTTCCATAACTATAGTGGTCTTCGAAAAGTAAAATAAGTCTTCTCTTTCTGTAAAATGTTAAAGTGAACCTGTATTCAGACTATGCACAATAAAGTATTTACATATTCTAAACAAGCAGTACAAGTTTAAAACAAGCTCTCATTCATCTTTGTAGCTATGTGCATTGTGAAGAAATTCATCCTCACAACAGAGACACTGAAATCTTTTCCTATTACTCTCTATTACAACAGAATCTTGGCAGCATGCCAGTCCTCTATTGTAAGCTGTTAGAAACCAAAGTAAACTAGACTGTAGAGTCTTTGTTGTGAAATTTGAAAATGTATTACTTTACAGTACATGCAGCAACATAGATCAGGGATGGTTTGCTTTTTAAAGCTCTTTTACTGTTTGTTAAGAATGTGTCTTTTAAAAAACTACAGCCTGAGCACCAATGCACTTTAATTCAATTCTATGCTTTTATTATTTCGGTTATTTAGATTATATATGGTCATGTTCAGGGGCGGACTGACAACTCATGGGGCCCCCGAGCAATAGGAGATCATGGGGCCCCTGTGTCCTCGCCCACACTCAAACCACACCCAAAAAAGCCTATGAAAGCTACCAGGGGCATCTCATGGGGCCCCCTACTGACCCTGGGGCCCTTGGGCAGTGCCCGAGTGCCTGGATGGTCAGTCTGCCCCTGGTCATGTTCCAGTTGATTAGAGCATCATAACTAGACATTAAAATATATATAAAGTCAGAAACTGTCTTTAAATTTCAGGTTGAGGAGTAAGAAATGGTTAAAAAACAACCCTATAAAGTTTATTTTTACTTCTGTTTTCTTTTTCTTTTTTTTTTGCTGTCTGTATCCTTTTAGGGAAAAATTCTTTCTTTTCTTATCTTGGAGAAACAACAGGAAGCAAGAAAAGATTTCCCTAAAGACAAACAAATCATCACCCCCCCAAAAATGTCCATATTGGAAGATTTCCCCACCACCATTCCTGCTCTGGTGACAGCTCCAAATGTGGGATTTCCCCTCACTTCCTGGCCCCATGTCAATGTTCACCAGGAAAAATTGAAAAAATAGAGAGGTTGATTGTCCTTAGCATCTACCAAAACAGCAATAAAAATCTGAACAGGAGATGGTATGATGGCACTGACCATACCATAGCTGATTATACTTCCCAAAATACATATTGTAGAAACCTCTAGCCTTCGTTAAATAACTAAAATTTAGGTTCTAGGGATAGGGATCTAGGGTTGTCTAAAAATAAATAAATAATAATTAACAAAAAATAGAATAAATCAATATAATATAAAATATATAAATATATATATATATATATATATATATATTTTTTTTTTTATATATATATATATATAAAAATATATATAAAAAAAAAAAATATATATATATATATATTATAAATAAAATATGTCTTTAAATGTTATGTTTGTTGAACCCCGCATATAAAACACACTATCAAATGTCAAAATATTCCTTTGCTACAATCCATACAGACCCATTAGAATTGAAATGTATTTCAGTGGGCCTGTATGGATTTTAGTAGCGATACTTTAATATTGTTGTGTGCTTATGCAGGATGTAACTGTATGTATATAAGTTTGGTGAAATTATAAGAAACCCATCCAAATTTTTTTCCCTACATTTCAGTAATAGAAGCCCGAAAACAGTTAAAACATTTTGATACCATGTCCAAGATATATATTGATCACTGTCGGTAGTGGGGAAGCTTTTACAATTCAAAAGAGTGTTGATATTCATATTGTTTAAAACATCATATTTCAATTTTTCATGGATGAATTACTAAAGGAATTGAGAATCTTCACTCAAAGGGGTTGATTTGCTAATAGCAAATATGCCGTTTACTTTTCAAATGCGTTTTCCCTTAGCTTAATGAATGTGATCAAAATTCACTTTGCAAAGAATACCCAAACACGTGAAAGGCAAAAAAAGGGGCATAATTACTTGCACATTATTGGATGATGGAAGAGTTTCATCTCATTCATTAAGCTATGGGAATACTCCCCTGCAAAGTGAACAACCTATCTGACTTTAATGAACCCACCTAATACAATATTTACTTCAAGTGTCCAATCATGTAAAAAGCATCTGTGCATTATTGGGTATTCAAGTTGAACAGAAATTTGCTTTCCTCATGATTGCATAACTGAAGTGTATGGTCCCACCTTTGAAAATTCCCAGCTTTTTTTAGTAAACTATCCTCACTGTATGCCATGGTCTTCCAAGAGCATGCATGCCTAGCTAAGATGTAAAGACTGCACAGCAAAGAGGTTACGGAAATTATTTTAAAGGGTTGGCAACTTACCTTTCGGACGTCCATGATGTCCAGCACTGATCTCTTCCCTCCGATCGGACAGTTTTGGATGTAGCATGCTGAGGAAATGGCTAACAGGCAGAAGAAGCTGACAGCCAGCAGAGAGTTATAAGTAATGGCTGTCATGTTGCCAGTGTCAATATTATTGACTATATTTGAAAGTTCTCCTATCACCTGGTCTTATAACCCTTGCTATATATCTCCCTGCAACTCCTCCCAGCCACCCCCATTTACCTGCCACGTCATGAACTCTGTTGTTAGAGGAGCACGTTGACTGTGACACCAAATTCCTCCATTATTAACCCAAGGTTGAGTATGTGAGGTTTCCAAAGAACACATCATTTTGTCAGAAGATTTCTGAAACGTGTTAAGAAATAATGCCTGGCTGTGCAAGACATTCCTTTTAATTATTACCATCCTCAAGGTCAGCCGACGGTGGACTGGAATTTTATGAGTGGTCACAACCTTTTTAAGCTTTATAATAGGCAAATGGTTGCGCTTCTTCCAAATATAGATTACGGGTGGATTAAATATTTTTCATTTCAGAAAGAAATATTTTTTGCCCTCCTAAATTAAATATATTGTGCGGAAAATGGAATTCAAGGAAATGACTCAGAGCTTGAATCAAGACATCCGCGAGACACAAAACTACATTACATGTATTGTCATGGGTGGAAAGATAGATAGATAGATAGATAGATAGATAGATAGATAGATAGATAGATAGATAGGCAGAAAGAAAGATTCATAAATAAATAGAAATCCATGTACAGAACTCTATATCCACAGTTGATCTATTGGAAGGCAAAAGAAAAACCCTATAAACCATGGTTAGAAATAAGACAGATTGATAGATAGACAGATAGATAGATAGACAGACAGACAGACAGACAGACAGACAGACAGACAGACAGACAGACAGACAGATAGATAGAGGAAGGAAGGAAGGAGAAAGAATGAAAGGAAGAAAGAAGGAAGGAGAAAGAATGAAAGGAAGAAAGAAGGAAGGAGAAAGAATTAAAGGAAGAAAGAAGGAAGAAGAAAGAAGGAAAGAGGAAGAAAGAAGGAAAGAGAAAGAATGAAAGGAAGAAAGAAGGAAAGAGAAAGAATGAAAGGAAGAAAGAAGTTAAGAGAAAATGAAAAGAAGAAAGAAGGAAAGAGAAAGAATGAAAGGAAGAAAGAAGAATAAAGAAATCCATGTACAGAACTCTGTATCATGTGTACAAATAAAGTGCAGTGCTCAGACAAAAAAATATAAAAAATATATGAAAATAATAATCAAAAAATTATAATTAAGAAATAATTAATATTTCAAATGTTCATAATGAAACATCAAATAATAAAATCGAAGCAAAACAGCCCCCAAACACCGAGACGAGACAGAAAAACCTCCGAGGACAGCCAATGCAACACCAACCACCTGCACACAAGGCCCTCCGGAAAAAATGTGACCCCCCCCCCCCCACCCCCTATTAAGAGTTGTCAATCACGCTTTTATTATATGACATCTGGAGAGATGGGCAGATGGAATCATCCTCTGGATACCCAAAAGGGAGAGATTGGTGGTCCTGCTATGCCGGTCACTATATATGATGACTTTGACAGCTCCAGGTAAGTTACATGAGACCAGAGCTCGTTGCAGTAGACATGTAAAAAAAGATTTTCTCCACATACCGTCAAATCCTCATATACGAAGTTTATTATATGGTAAAATTGCACTCACGTGATAATGGACATAAATCAGCATGTACAAACACTAAAATCGAGTCTTTCCAGCATTTGCGATGGCCACCGGCCAGTCGCGCATATGTGGTAGATATGGAACTCTATATCAGTTGATCTAGAGGAAGGCAACATAAAACCCTATAAAGCACAGTTAGAAATAAGACAGAAAGAAAGAAACCCTATACAGCATGAATAGACAGAGAGAGAGAGAGAGAGAAAGAGAGATTGATAGACAGACAGATAGATAGATAGATAGATAGATAGATAGATAGATAGATAGATTAAAATCCATTTACATATTGACATAACTTGTTATCAACTTGGCACTACTGGTCATTTGCAGTATACTTCCCTTGGGTGTATATCAATATTGATTTCAATGATTAACTTTCATCATTGCTGATATAAGTCTTAATTGGTGGACCAATACAAAGGAGGGGCACAGAGGTAATGATCCATAACTGCTGGTCGCCTGCTCTATGGATTATCGGGTGTTCATAGACTCTGTGTCCCAGTAGACGTGGTAGAGATGGAAGGTGAATTAGTAATAAGTAAGCTGTTGATGTTTGTAGCTGGGAGGGTTTTTCTGGGCTGTGAGAGGCCAATTCTGGAAATGAACATTGCCCTTTCCTTCCTAATATGTCTGGTTAGGTCCATCATCAGAAAACATGAAGCCCCTTTGCTTTGGCTTTGGCCCTGAGCCTTTGGTGCCAAACCCAGGTAAATATAAATGTCCTTTAAGTAGCCATATCCCTACTTTAAAGCACATTCTAAAACTTAGAGACGTTTACTGCAGAACGTGGAGCGTCACCATAGACTTGAATGGGCATGTCTTTGGAGTGTGAGAGGAAACCGGAGTACCCGGAGGAAACTCACTCAGGCACAGGGAGAATAGGCAAACTCCAGGCAGGTGGTACCATGGTTGGGATTTGAGCAAACAACCCTAGTACTGCCAGGTGGAAGAGCTAACCATTTAGCAACTGTGCTGCCCCATAAATAAAATGAACAGCCTTTTGCTAGTTCTGTTTAACTCCTTCTACAGCACACCCACCTTCTCTGGTGCAGTCATTGGCAGACTGACAACTCATGGGGCCCCCGGGCAATAGGGGATCATAGGGCCCCTCTGTCCTTGCCCAAACTCAAAAAAGCCTATGAAAAAGGTACCAGGGGCATGTCATGGGGCCCCCTACTGACCCTCGGCAGTGCCCGAGTTTCCAAATGGTCAGTCCGCCTCTGGGTGCAGTGATAAAGGAGTTCCACACTAATGGCCTGTACACACGATAAGAAAATCGTACAAAACATTTTGCGGAAACCACTGATCGAACAATTTTCTCTTCGTTGATGAGTAGGATGTTTTAACCGATAACAATATTGTGAACGAAAAAATCTGGTTGAACAACAGTAAAATATTTGTTGTTTCGCATACGAACGACCAATTTTCTATGCGGTGGCATGACGGTTGTATGAAAAAAATCTATCAAGCGCTATCACACATGAGCGGAAACAGAAGATGTTTATTTCCAGGGAATCTTCGTAAACACGAACGAAAAATCCAAATGTTAAAAGTAGATTGGTCTAATGAGATAATGAAACCAGAATTCTGCAGATTATATTTTATGTATCACTATTTATGTATATAGATCATGTAATAAACTATATTATACTCATTGCTGGTAATTGTTGTGTATATCGCTAGTTCTGGCCAGAAGGTCAAACGCACACCGCATCACTTCCACTTGTACGGAAGATGTCAACACTACGTATTGCCCGAAGAACAATTTTTTTAGATTGGTTAATGTGGGCCACGAACGAACGCCTCTTGGACGTCGGATGACCAATCGGTCGATTTTCAAATCGTGTATTCCCACCTTGAGGCTTCATGCACACTGGGGCTTTTGTAAGCGCTTTTCTCCTAGCAAAAGAAAAGTAGCTTAAAAAAAAAAATGTAGGCAAGTCAAGCGCTTGGGCGTTTGATTATTTCATTGGTCAGAATATTCATTTATTCTGGCTTTGAAATGAAAAAACATGCCTAGTGTTTAGGTGCATTTAGACATGTCAGGCTTTTTTTTTGCCCATAAGCTCCTTCCTTCCGGAATTAAAATTTGATGTTTTTATATTTCTGCCCCTAAAGGCTTCTGCCTCTAAACTCCTCTACATGCCTATATAGAGAGCAGAGGCGGACTGACAACTCATGGGGCCCCCGGGCAATAGGGGATCATGGGGCCCCTGTGTCCTTGCCCAAACTCAAAAAAGCCTATGAAAAAGGTACCAGGGGCATCTCATGGGGCCCCCTACTGACCCCGGGCCCTCGGGCAGTGCCCGAGTTTCCAAATGGTCAGTCCGCCCCTGGTAGAGAGGGGTGTTTAGGGGCAGAAAATAAAAGGGCTCATTTAGTCTTTGTTCAAAATGTGGTATTGGACATGCTTTTTTAAGGCACTCTGAATACAAATCAAAGCTCCTGCCCCTAAATAAAATGGTTACCTTACAGTCCTGTCCACACTGTTGTGTTTCCTTTGCTTTGCTTCAAAAATTATACCCATGTCGCTTTCTTGGTCCTTCAAATCATCACCAAAGCCTCCACAGAGGTCTATGTCAAAGCTTGCTAACTGCACCAAGCTTTGAGGGGCTTTTGATCAGAGTTAGCTTCACTTTGTTTTGGAGGTATTGCAGGTATGAGATGGCTTAGAATGCACTGGGAAACCAACAAAGGAACTGGAAAGATGTCATCAGAAGTCACTGCGGGTTCACATGTATATATTCTGGAAGTGTCTGGTGTAGGCATCACATCTGGTGTGAAACTTGGAGGAGCAGGAAGGTGAGCAGGGTCCAGACTGGAGATGATAAACGTAATGTGCAACATGGGAACACTATAGCGGAAGGTGAGTGGGGATCTGAGGAAGAGGACTGAGCGGCACAGTATCGGCAGAGCTGGGGGACTGGAACAGGAGAAGCTAGCAGATGTCATACGTGGTGTGCAGTGTGGGAGCAATAGAGTGGGAGGTGAGAGAGAACCAGAGGGAGAGGAGGATCAGCAAACCAGAGGATCAGAGTTGTGGGCTACTACTGAGTGGGGGATCAGAAGAGCTGGGGGGTACTATTAAATGGTGCATCAGCACCCACATGGAATAAAAATATATTTGAAATATATTTTACAAATGTTCTTCCCAAATATATTAACATATATTTAAAATACCACAATTTTGGCCATATTCAATATATTTTAAAATATATTCCTACATATATATATATACTGTATGTTGAAATGCATTTTTATTAAAAAGTATATGAAAAAGTATTTTTTAAAATACATTTTCAAATATACTGTATGTCTTTAAAAATACAAATCTACATTTTTGGAGTACATTTACAAATATATGTATAATATATATGTTAAAATTTTT